CCAAAGTTGTAGCTTGTCAAACCTTAGTTCAGTTGGGCGCATACAATCGTCAAACTCCGACAGGATCACCGCGTTCTTACTGACATGCCAAGACAATCCATCCCAAACCCGATCGCGATCTCGCTGATTAGCAAACTCTACCACAAAGGTATTATCTCCCACAGATCTGAAAGCTAAACCCTTCGGATTACCCCATGCAGGGCGGAGAGCATTGGTGATGGTGTTGATGTGAATGACATTGCGATGTAGAATCTTCCCCGCCACCAACCACTTCTCCGGCACTCCGTCTTCGAGATCATCCAAGACCAGCGGCGTTGCCTCTTCATCGGTGATATCCAGCTTGCCCAACGCCTCGGCTAGCTTTGCCCTAGCCTCCCCCGGTGACAAGGGTGTCTTCCCTTTTTCCGGATCAGACGACGTCGCCATCCCCTACCCGATCACCGTTGCGCCCCGTCGTGAGATCGACGTGCGCCGCCAGGAGTCCACCCTAACCCTAATCGCCTGTCACCAGGCTCCAGGTTTTTCGGGGAAAAACTTTCCTCTTACAGTACATTCATATTTATTGGAAAACAAAATGTAGACAACTCATCAGGTATATATCTTTTGAGGTGAATCAGGTATATCTAAAATAACATACTTCGCTAATTTTACGTGTTGTAGTTCTAGCACCGCGACGACCAGGTGACACAGCCGCGACGTGTGTTAGAAATTTAGGGTTCCTCTGCTTTTCTGAGGTGCCGCTCACAATTCGCATATCAGAGACTAGTGGGTGCGATTTTTTTATATTGTCTTTCCAAAGAGTTCACCTTTGATACAAATAAAATTCCTAGCTTATTCAATTGGTTTCTGAGATAGAGTTCAGATCAAATTACCAACCATGATTAAATTTATTTGTTAACGGATTCTACCCGTTGTGTCTCTCAAAACACGGATTTGTGAGCAATGCACCATGATCATGTATAAATTCTATCAATCATGCAGGTCACTATTAGGGTCGTAGCCTAGTTCCTTCCAATTATTAATGTATCTGGGTAGTGTTTCTAATACAAATACATAGTATACTGTATCTCTACTTCTAATGGAGCAGTTGGTGAATAGTTTTCACGGTTTATTTTCGTTGAGTTTTTTTCGTCTCTCCTCCCACCACCCCCTCCCATCCTGGTCCATTGGTTTATTTTTCTCTCCACTCTTTATTACAACCATGACTTTCCTAACGTACAACAAATCACGGATCTAACTTTCTTAAATTATTCATATCAATCAATTCCTTTTATTGGTTTAATTTGTCTTAGGAAACAAATAACAAATTTTTAAGAAACAAATAATAGATTTAAATCTAACTTTCCTAACTTATTTAAATCAATCGATTTCTCTCATTAGTGAAATTTGTTTTAGGAAACAAATAACAGACACGTCACAAACTTTCCTCCCAATAAATAGTTTCTTAACATTTGCAAACTTTCCTAATCAGACACGTCACAAACGGGCAGGTACTGATATCATGTTACCAAACAATAAAACCCCATTTGCATAGAAATCAGTTCAAAATCCTAACTTTCCTAAATTTTTACCTTTCCTTGATAACATCCAATATTTTCTATGTTTTCCACCTATTGAAGGAAATCACCCCTCCATTGATATTAGCATTTTTTTTGGAATGAGATCTTCGGGTTATGATTTTTTTGCGATTCTTTCCAATTGTGACCTCTCCTTTCGCTCCGGCTCCTTCTCGCATAACCACCTCCACCACAGCCAGCTGACGCCACCCTAGACCTCTTGCCTCTCCACACCTTCTCCGCCACCTCCTCCTCGTACTCCATTGACAATCCCTCCACCACGTTTGTCCACGGCGGTGTCACGCAACAGCGTACCAGTGGTAGAGCAGCGCATAGCAGCAGGAAGAAGCATGCAGCAGGCGGGCGAGCGGCCGATGGTGGAGGGCAGAGATGCGGCCGGCATGGCTGAGGGGGCGGCGGCAGAAGATGGCCGCGACATGAGGCGGGGTGAGGCAGGGGCGCGACAGCGGGGCGAGCGAAGGGATAGGCGGCAGCAGACGGGGCGAGCACAGCCAGCGAGAGTGTGATGCGCGGCCAGGGTGTGCGTCGCGCGGGGCACAACGGTGCGGTGGCTGTGGCGAGCATGATGGCAACGGCGGGCGTGACGGACGCGGTGTGGCACGTGCGTGGGCATGGAGAGCCAGAGAGGGAGTGGCCCCGCGAGCGTGGAAGAAGAGTTGAAGGCTCGGGCATGGGCGCGCATAGGAGCGGGCATGTGCCATGGGGTCAATCCGAGGAGCTCAGTGGCTACCCCTGCAATGGCCATGGCGGACGGCGGTTCTCGGCCACGGCAAAATACCTAACGAGAGCAAACGAGAGGAGAAACTGGGGAAAGGCAAGAGGAGATCACGGCGGTGTCAATGGCACCCTAGGGGAAGACAGGGGAGCTTGGGGCGGCGCGGATCAAACGGCAATGTCGCGGTGGCCGAAGGTTGAGGAAGACGGCAACGGCGTCGATCTAGGGGTGCTGGACTTGATCTCGTTGGCGCAGACGAAGTAGCGAAGGCATTCGGAGCTCCTCGACAAGCTCCTAGCCAGCAGGGAGGGCAGTGGCCGTGTGGACGGGGTCGGTCAAGCTCACCACAAGTCCGCATATTATTTTCAATTGAGTAAGTCTTATTGGCGGGGAGAATAGGCTATGTGTGTGTTAGAGAGAGAGAGAGGGAGAGAGAGGGAGGAATAGGGAGGGGGAGAGAGTGTGCGTGTGAGAATTTGATGGTAAAAAAGGTCACCAATGTCGTAATATTGAACTCTTAAAGTTAATATGACCCCATTGCAACGCACGGGCGTTCTTCTAGTCATTGATAATGGCCGGTTGTGTTAAGCTCCCTTCGTTCCGTTATATAAGGTACTTGTTTTTAAGAAATTCTCACAATGTAAGGTGCATTTCTTTTAATTTCTCATAATTCTTTTTTTAGCCTTTCGAAAAAAGAAAATTATCTCTCTCCCAATTGTCTTTATCTCATTGTAATTTGCCAAGATGCATTTCTTCTAATTCCTCATAATTTTCTTTTTAGCTCTCCAAAAAAAGGAAACTAACTCTCCCACAATTGTCTTTATCTCTCCTCTCTCGGTTGCATGTGTCTCTTACTTTTCTGAACTAACTGATTTACTTGCCATTAAACAACAAATTTGTCAAGGATAATTATGTCCTAACCTCTCTATAATTATGTGCCTTGGTCATCATGCCAAAAATAATACATCTTACACAAAGGAACAGGGCAAGTAATATGCAAGTACATTACAACAAGTAATAATTCCATGATAAACATGTAAAGTAATTTCATGTACAAATGCATGAATAATTCTATAATGAGGTCTTCCAAATATTAATAATTTCAAATTCAAATATAGTTGCAAAACACATAATTACAACAATGTCTTCTTCGATGGTGTAGATATACAAAGCACATGAGAAGGGACGGGGTGGGGGAAAGGGCTCTTCAAACGAAATGTCGGATTCTGACATAGAAAAGGTACGGACTCCCCAAACCTTCCCGTCTTGTGTCATATAATAGAATATCTAAAATGCTCAATGCACACGGTTAGTCCACACGAAGCATTGTCATCAATCACTAAAACCATTAGAGAAATATGTCTTAACACGATGTCTGGCCGCAGGTGCCTGAGTTTGGTGCGGATCTTTATGTAGCTTCATGCATCTACTACAATGTGGTTTGAGTCAATGATCGCCGATGGCGAAGTCGGAATCATTTGCCCAGAGTTAGAGATGACAAGGACGCCTCTAGGAGAGGAGTGAAGACAATGACGTACGTGCTATCTCAATGAGGCCCTCTTTAAAGTGATGTGCGGGGAATTTTTTTTTACGTGTGCCGCTCAATGATCGCATATGGTTTTCACCCGATATTCCGTATATTAACTGGGCAATTCTTTTCTTCAACCTAGCAGGCTCTCTCTACGACTACAAGTGCATCCTCCTCCTCTTACTAGCAAGCAAGATTAACCCGAGTCGATTGCAAACCAAGCCCAAGCACCAATTTCAAATTTCTCTCATCGCATTTGGCAGTCACCTAAGACGCAACCAAAAAAATCGGATCTTCGCACAGCTCGATGATGAATCGGGAGAAAATCAACTCCGACGTCAGAGGCCAAGGAGTAGCAAGGATGCATAAACGGCGACAGTTTCAGGGCACAACAACGAGCAGCCGAGCACAAAGCTACAGAAGCACCTCTACCTGATGCTGGACGACTGGGACAAGGGCTTCACCATCCGCAAGATCCACGCCGACAGCCCCGACGACCTCATCCTCACCGACGAGCCCCCCGTCCTCCGCCTCCTCTCTCCCGGACACATCCACTGCATGTCCTACGCCGCCATGGGCAGCAGCCACATAATCGCAGCAAGCAACCAACACCCCGCCACCCTCATCTACGACACGGCAACCGCCGGACTGACCACCGGCCCTCCAGGACGGCCGCGCCGTCTTCCTGCCCGCCGCCGACGGCACGCTGTACGCGTTCACCTACTACTTCATGCGGGGGCCTCAGGCCGTCGAGGCGCTGTCCTCCGTCGCCAAGGACCTGTGCTCCCAGGTGCCGACCGTGGACTGGTCCTGGAGAAGCGTCGTGCCCTCGCCGTTCGCCCGGAAGGAGAGGGTCTGCTCCTGCGCCGCGCACCCGGACGGACGCACCGTCTTCGTGTCGGCCCTCACAACCGGCACTTCCGCACCATGTCCTTCGACGCTGGTCACCGAGTGGACGTGCCACGGGGAGTGGGGGCTGCCGTTCATGGACAACGGCTACTTCGACGGTTACCTGGACGCTTGGGTCGGCCTTGACGAGGACCGCTACGTCGGCGCCTGCCAGGTCGCCGACCCTACTCCTGCCAGTAGCATGCAAGTGCCGCGGTTCTACTCGAAGATCGCCAAGGACAAGCTCTGGAGCAAGGAGCGGCGGGCGGCTCATGGGCCTACGCTCACCTGTATGGGCCGTGGCAGGTTTTGCCTTGTGGACTGTGTGGTGTGCGAGGTGATGACGTCTAGTTACACTGATGGCGCCCCTCAAAAAAAAAAAGTACACTGATGGCTCTTCTAAAAAAAGTTTAACTGATGGCTGCATGCTCAACATCACCACATGTCGCCTCCGGTACTCTCACAAGAGAGAGCTGCGGATCGCCGATCGCGCCACCAAATCCTGTCAAATGACCAAGAATGTCCGCGCATTTTCTCCTGTTGCGTTCTGGATGTAACTCGCCGTTTTCCTGCTTGGTAGTACTACGTCATAATAGTACATTAGTTTACAAACATTTACTACTAGTACTTTATAATGCGCTGGAGCGTAGAGCTGCAGCAATGTTTGGTGAAACAGTCTAGTCTCTAACAGAAGGACCAAATCAAAGAGTAAAGACATTAACCTGAAATAGCTCCAGTGCCATAATATCAAAAGAATGGTTTGCGTACTGAAAGGTATGCAACTATCCTTGGTCTTAACATTGCTTGCTGTTTGAGATGGTAACCTTATTTACCTGCGGATTTCCCAACCACTACTCTTCGTACCACTTGCGTAAACTGCCTGAAGTCGAGGCAAAAGGAGTGGTATTCTGTAATTTACCCTGGCAACTAATCAAGTGAGAAGGAAGACTGGGCCAAAGAAAAAGATTGTTGTGACGAAACAGAATGCAAATAGACAATATCAAAATTTGCCAGCATCGACGGACGCACTGCTACTATTAGTGTGGACCAGGAATTGTTGCGGATACATTGTCTAGTTAGACAGACAGGATTAACACAATCCACTGCGATTCATAGACAACTCATCAATTTATACCACCCTGCGTTGCCTGCTGTTTGGCGCGCTACCAGATATGAAATGCTCCCTCCGTTCACAAATATAAGATGTCTTGGATATTTCAATATGGACTACATAAGGACTGAAATGAGCGAACAAACACACTAAAACGTGTCTATATATATCCAATTCAGAAAAAGTTAAAACATCTTATATTTGTGAATAGAGGGAGTAGTTGTTTTGAAAGATGATAGCTAAAACTGTACCATATAGAAAAGCCATTTTGGTACACATGGAGTAGCCTCCGATCATATCTGATAGCTACTGAGGAAGTTGTCTGGAGTAAATAGTTATACATGCAAAGTTCCATTGCAAAAAAAAAGTATTCTATATAAAGTTCCATTGCAATAAAAGAAAGTCTAAATGATACTCCAGTTGTCTGGAGTAAAGCACATGGGATGTCGATTTTAAGATGTGCAAAGCAACATTTTGCCCAAACAGCTTAAGCTACACAAGTAGTTAAGCATGTGGCCAAACTCCAATACACACCATCCAACATGTGTTTTTCTTAGATTATGATCACAGCATGTGTAGCGACATCTAAATATCAACGAAGCAACGTTATTTTTTTAAACAATGACCTAAACCCACATCCATTTAAATACGCAGGTGTTACTCCCTGTTACAGGTGTTGACTAAACACAACCACCCTGCAGGAGTACAACAGCTTTATATAGAGATGGCAAAAAATAATAATAGATTGCAGCCAATGTACAACAGCTTACACCTAAATGAAATGAGATATTCTAGAGTGCATCATGCTTGCTGGTCCTCAACCAGGACCTTGACCTTGCCTTACACCTAAAATGAGATATTCTTACAACACAAATAAATTTGGTAAAGCAAAAACAACTCATCACTGATAGAACTTGCCCGTGAGATGTACAGAAAATATAAAATAAAACAATATGGAAGCTTTACCAGATGGAGATACCCAATGGCCAATACAATGTTGATGTGCCGTTATTTGACAGCATAGCAAGCTGGGTATGGCATGCGAGATGCCATGGAGAATGCATTGTGGGCTGACTACATTGCAAGACAATGAACCATATGTAATAAGTGTAAAACAATTGGTTTGTACTGCAATTAGTTCTATTCAATCAAAAGGATTGTGATCAAGTGTCATTTAACATTGCATCAGTACTAGCACATCTGTCCAGGAACACATACACAAAAGTTAAGGACCCTTTCCTAGCCTAGCACCTTAGCACTACATGATAATTTGCTACCATTAACATTGCATTAGTAGTACTACAGCAACTTCGCATACCCTTTTCCTAGCCTACCACCTTAACACAAAAGCCTTCTCCACGGGGCATATTTCCATAGCCATTACACTAGGTGTTCTGAATTTTTCTTTTCAACCAGCTCAGCCGTAATTCCTTAGATGAAAAGGAGAGAAACACTTCCCTGTTGTCCTTGTTGTCGGTGAAGAGGTCAGCTGCTTTTAGCATATCTTCCGTTTGTAAATCCGGCAACCCTTCAAGTGTAGCAATGCATGTTTGTATGCTATAGGGATCCTCCAATTTCCTCTCCTCAATGGCTGCAAACCGATTCATTTCTTCTCTTTTGAAGCTCAGGTACCTCTCCTGGAAATCATCAAGATTAGAGTTCGTCTTCTGTCTTTTTGCCCGTTTAGCACTAGTAGGCTCAGGAGCAGAATGAGGTGGTTGACGATTTCTATGTAGGTCTTCTGGAGGTTCCATCGATATATGTGGGGCCTTGTTCGCATAATTATCGGTGCCATGGCAACTCCTTCCTTGAGCATAGCGCCCTGCATGGATTACGTCCAGAAGAATCTCGCTTAAGAACATAAGAGACACAACATAACTAATTAATTCAATGGTTTAAAACTCACCGTCATATAGAGCAAATATATCATAATAGTATGGGAATGACTTGTCTTGCCATCGGAGGGCATCTTTGTTTTTACGTGCCCTTAATTCTTCCCAAACACTATCAGGAGCAACCACCATCATCGTATCACGATCCCAGCCAAAACCACTTTCAGATATCAAGTCTCTTATAGCTTTAAAATCTTTCTTCAGGTCCTGCTCCTTTTGTTTGACCTGAGTTACTGAGAGTGATAAACCAAATCGTGTATTGAATGCATCCACAATCCTTCTCCAAGCCTCTTTGCTCCATGCATTTCGTGTTCGATATGTCGGCACATCATGTTCTTTCAAGAGCCAAATAAGATATGACTTCATCTTGTGATTCCAGCTGGCTCTAGAACAACTCTTGGTGGTGCCTGATGATATGACAAGTGCAATTCTAGTATTAGTTATTGAAAAAACATACTACTAACTAGCTATGCACTGAATAGCGCATACAAGTTAAGTCTATGGGTAGTGAAACAATGAGAGCCACACTCAATGTCATCATATATAGGATTATAACATTAGTTCACGATCCTCTTAACATACATGGAGTGTTGATCTCACTTAATTTGAGGGAGCCACGGCCCAAAATTCACATGAAATCCCAAAAAATCAAAATAAACTGTCCCTGAAACATCACAGCAAACCAGCGACACAACATCCATACAATAAAAGTTCGCCTCGCCTCGATCTTCCACATAACAAGCTAACTAGGTGATGGTAAGAATCAATCCATACATACACACAGCATCATATATCTTCCTGATTCTTTGAATCTCCTAGTACAGCTTGCCACATAATTGCAAAGAATCCAGTACATAGCTGGATAGGCACACACCATGCTATATAGCTGAACCGATGTTAAATGCTAATATATGTATACATCAGTGCAGTACATGCAACGGTTGCCTGTTGTGTGATGAAAAATACTCTCTGAAAATGTAGCGTGCACACTAAATCCTAACTAGCCAGAACTCTGCTCCACTAATTGGCACACGTACTAGCAGTCGAACAACCGAAGAGAAAATAATCTACTACTGTAGTAACTAATTAGGTTGTCACACCATACATACAAAGAGAGACAGATCTGTCCTAGCAAGACAAATGTTCAACAGTAAATCAAGATTTTGAACGAGAAACCAATATGTATCGAGAGTGGGTTACCTGTTTCTTGCCAGATCTCCTGACCTTCCCCAAATTGCAGATCTTCCGACCCTTGTGTCGATGGAAGGAGGGGAGGCGGAGCAGGAGGGGCGTAGGAAGGGGGCGGAGGCAGAGGAGGAGGTGGAGGTGGGATCCCCCCGTGGTCGTCCATGTCGATTTCGCGCCAAGCTCGTGGGAAACGGAGAGTGACGGAGCGAGGGAAGCGGATTTTCGCCTGGCGTTCCTTTGGTTCGAGCAGATGCTATTTTTCCCGTGGAAAGTGCAGCTTGAGGGGGACGCTTTACTGTGGAACGAACGAAGCTGATTTCCTGCTGAGCGAACGGGCCTGCAGAATTCCTACGGAACAGTTTCCGTTCACCAAACCTCGGGTGTCTTCAATGCGCCGATCCAAATGAACGTAAATTTTGTCTGTTTTTATTTGTTGGGTCGGTATTTTGGTCTTTATCTGTCTTCATCCGTATTTGAATTATAGTGCGTCCACGCGATTATTTTTTTGCTTTTTTTATGTAGATATAGAAAAATATTGCCCAAAGTTCACATAATTCAACCAAATACAAATATCATAGTTTCATAAACCAAAAAAATCTCATAGGTTACAAACCAAATAAAATTTAAATTGTTACAAATACATTTGAAAGAAAAAATAGCTTATACATCTATTGATTGTCAAGGTGAGCCCAGCGTATGCTCAACCAAATTATCTTGTAGTTGAATGTGAGTTTTCCAATCACGCATTTGATGATGAAATTCGGTGAACTGTGCAAATGTAGTCGTTCCTCCATGCTCAGGCACATCATTTTCCCCTTGAAATTGAAACCCCTGATCCAAGATTTTATCCTCACGCTCATCCTCTATGATCATGGTGTGCATGATCACACAAGCAGTCATCACCGCTCACAACTTTTTGGTGCTCCAAATTCTAGCAGGATACCGAACGATGCCTCATCGAGATTGAAGAACACCAAAATCATGTTCCACATCTTTTCTTGCACTCTCTTGTGCTTGGACAAATCTCTACCTCTTCTCTCCTATCGCGTTGGAGATTGTCTTGACAAGTGTAGCTCATTGAGGATAGATACCATTAGTTAGGTAGTATCATTTGTTTTAATGGTGGCCGTTTATCTCAATATTGACCTCTAGACAGTTGCCTTCTGCAAGCCTTGCAAACACTGGAAAACGCTGAAGCACGTTGATATCATTGTGAGAGCCGGCCATGCCGAAGAAAGAGTGCAAATCCAGAGATCGTGTGAAGCCACGACCTCAAGTATGACAACGCAAGATTTCACATGGCCCCTAAATTGCCCCTGCCAAGCAGAAGGGCAGTTATTCCACTCCCAGTGCATACAATCTACGC